TGTTCCTCACTAACAGCTTTTTAGTTCCTCCCTCTTTACTGTTGCAGGAAAGTGAATCTGTCAGTTACTGCTTTAAAAGGAAGGTTTATAGCTCTGGAGACTAGCTGGGCAATCTGGGTGATTCTAGGTAAGATGAGATATTTAGTTTTTTAATTGGGGGGGGGGGGGGGGGGGGGGGGGGAGGATTCACGGTCACTTAAGATATAATATGGTGAAGGGCAGAGTAGTGGATTACACAGTTCAACAGTACTTGGTTTGTTCAGGAGAGTCCTTTGTGGCTAAGGAGAGACTGTTGTGCCATACATGACATGACAGGCTGCACCACAGGAGGCATCTTACTGTCATATTCATGTTATACAAGGCTTAAACTGAGGATTCTCCTTCAGGCCTCAGTTACCTATGCTCCTTTGCTGTATCTTGAGGGTGATTGTGGTTTCCTTGCTGGTTACAGTTTGGCTCTGTCACAGGTGGTTGCAAGACCTCAGTCAAGTTAGTGCCTTGATTGCAGGGCAGGGGGAAAAAGTCCTGGGAGGACTTGCATGCAGTATTTGGAGTTGATGCTTAAGGCGTAGTATTACAACAGTCCATCCTTCTCCCTGACTGTGCTGTCTTGTTTCCTTCTGGGAGCTAATGGCTATCTGGTCGTCCAGGTGAGAGTTGATCTAGCTGAGAACTAACGTCAGAACTAACCCAGGAAAATGATGTTTGCCAGATCACCTCCCTAGTGTGACTGCACAACCAGATGAGTCCCTGGCCAGCACGAGGAGAGTTGTGGGAGCATGTATATGGGACAGGTTAGGCTGACTCAAATTGAAGCTGGTTGTAAATACACTCTGAGATTAGGATTATGTGTTTTATTTAGACAAAAGGATTTCTCTTGTTAATAGCCAAAGCTATTAGTTGCACCCTCTTTTATATTCAGTGAAAGAGCTAGAACATGATTCTGCACTTCCTTTTTGAAAGGATGACTGGAGAAAGACTTAAGTAAAACAGAGATTGGTGGGAGCTGTGCAGCATAACCTGTAACTGTAAGAAAACAACAAACTGCAATGGCAAGTAGCTGTCAGGATAACTCGAAGGTATATGGGTGGCTGATTCCCTGTTCCAGCATAGCATAGTGAAAACATCTTAGTGCCATATTGCTCATAATAAGAGATAGGCAACTTGTCTTGTAGCTTTCTCCTGCCTGCAAAAGGTTGTAGAAATAGCACAACCACTTCTTTTACACCATGTGGCGGACCTGCCTTTATGGCAGGCCACCGCAGTGTTAGCATGCTCTTCGTCTAAATATTAGGATAGAGAGGAAGAGAAGCCGTTGGTTCTTGGGGTTGTTTTCTTTGCAATACAGAAGCTGACGGCTGCTCTCCTGTTCTCTTCTGTTGCACTCGAACGATGTCTGGCTATGGATAGACAATAGGCAGGCTGCTGCCCGCTGTAAATAGCCCATTGTATGCCGAGAGTAGGAGCAGCAAAGAACGGCGTAGTCCTGCCAACTTGGGTCGTTGCCTTGAGATACTGGCTCTGCTGTAAAGAATGAGTCTTGGGTGCTGTGGGGTGCGTGCGTGTGAGCAGAGAGCTGGTTTTGTCTGAGCTGTACAGAACTCCTTAACCGAACTGATCCAATGAGTTCAGAGGAATGCTTTCATGGGTTGGATTTTGGGAACTGCTGTTTCTGTGGAGGTGGCCAGGACAGGTAGTTACCCCTGAAGCAGTTTTGCCCTGTTACTAAAACCACTTTTCTGTATCTGTCTGGTATTGTTTCTATACTTTCAAACCAACCAAGGCCTACTCGTTGCATTGAGAAAAAAGTGGTTTTGACCTCAAACGTTGTCCATTCTGCTCCAAGTTTTTTGCTACATGTAGCAACCAGAGTATAACAGACCCATACTTCTCTAAACTGGGATCTTTTTCCTTTGGGTGTCCAGCTATGACTTCTACGTGCTATGTTCTGTCTTACACTGGGGCTGAGTTTGAGACCATTCCTTGTGGTCCAAATCCTGTCTGGATGAGAAGCAATTGCAGGACCTGAGTTTGCTTGTCTTCAGTGAGCAGACGTAGCTGGGTCCTTCCTTGAGGAAAAGGACTGAAAGCTAGATCCTAGCTCCACTGGAAAGATCTTTGTATCTCAATCTAAAGGCTCTAAACTGCCATCCTTGGTCATGGTAAACACCCTGAATGTCTGATGTGATTGCAGCATGAGCCAAGTAAATACTGAGATGGATCAAAGAAGACTGGGAGGCATTGAAGCCCCTTTTCTTGATGGTGTCTATTTGGATGCATATGTTAAGAATGTGAATTTATTCTCCTTGTTGCATCTGGCTTTGTCTGAAATACAGAAAACAAGAATTGATATGACTTAACAGACTGTGTTAAAGCTAGGAATTGCCTAGTCTTACAGAAAACTCTGTCTTAACCTTGTTTTTTGTGCTGATGAGGCAGAAGTTGTAATAAAAAGATGTCATCCCTCAATACAAACCTAAGCAGTAAACTGTATCGTTACGTTAACTGATTTCTTGAGCAGTTACACTGCAAGTTAAGTTTTATGTTACAGGCTGCTCTGCAAACAGCTGGGCAGGGAAATGAAAAGTAGCCGTGTGCATCTCTTTTGTGTTCACCTAGGCTGAAATCATAGCAGCTTCTTGACTACAAAGGGACTGTTATGTGAATGAAATGATCATGTTTACTTCAGTTCTTGTTAGCTTTAATGGCACAACAGCCTTTTGAAAGAGTAGCTCTCTAATTACATTGCATTTCTAAATCAGTGTGTGTGGAGGACACATCATGACTAATGCAGAGAGGAAAGCAAGTATCTGTTGTTTTAAAAGTCAAAGGTGCTTACTGTGGGGCTTGAGGAGGAAAGAGCTAAGCTTGCTCTCAACCCTTACATGCATTATAGCGCACTCTTTCTAGTTTCATAACAGGGTATCTATGATATACACAATTAACTTGTAAGCCAAGACTTCCTTGTTGGAATGACTTTTTACTCTTACTGTTCATCTGCATATATTAAAACTTAAGAGGTAGTTTTTGTGCCTGCAATGCTAATGGGCATGATTTGATGCATAAAAAGCAACAGTATGGTAATCCTAACTATTAAGTCAGTAATTGATTATTTTTTTTATTTTTGTTATGCTGAGGGAAGATGAAGAGGTTCCTTGTTAATATATTCAGTTCTCCACCTTCCTCTACTACAGCCTGATGTGTTGTGGATTTTGAGTACACTGTGTGTATCACAGTACAAGTAACCAAAAGGCATTTCCATAGTGGCCCTGCACTTTGTATCTGGGTGATACAGCCCTCTGCCCCGAGGCTATGCCATAAAAGAAGATAAAAGTGTGTGGGGAGAGAGGACAGTGCCTGGCTCCATGGGTCTGGGACCCTTCCAGAGATGGAACTTGATTCCATCCTGACGCTGCCACCATCCATGACCTTACTTCAGCATGTCCTTCTGCTAACATTGTGAAACCCTGGGCCCTTTGAACTAATTTTATGGCTCTTTTGCTGTCTCTAGCAAATCCTTGTCCAAATACTGGATAGACTTTTTTTGTGAACTAGACAACTCTCTGTTGCCTGGTTGAATAACTGATTGCAGCAGTAAAGATTTCAAGGGCAGACTGTAAACAAGAGATTTTCCTGTAGAAATATGAAATTTTAGCCTGATACGGTTGGTTTTAAAACTAATAGGCATACAATTCTGCCTGTTTGGATTTTGGCATCTCCTACGCTGCCATGCTGCAGCAGTGTATCATTACACAGTGTATTCTAGCTATATTTTTGACATTCTTTAGGACCCTTGTTTAATTTTATTGTCCATAGGAAATGCCTGGACCTAAACCATATAAATAAACACACCTTGGCTCTTCAAGCAAGCAGGAAAGCGTTTCTTCCCGACGGCGGCCATTGTCAGCTGTCCCTGGGTGGCAGGAGGCTGAGCTGGTGCCAGGCGGCTCGGAGCACGGTGGGCAGGCTCCATCCCTTCGGCGGGCAGTGGGGTGACCAGGGGTGGGTTGCCATTGGCCTCGGGCAGGCCCGCTGCCTGCTCCTCACCTCTCACCTAGTGGGCAGGAGCTGGTGGGTTTGGCATGTGACAAATGTCCCTGGAGACCTTGGCTGTAGACAGCACCAGCTGAGCTGACTGCAATTTTTTTTTTTCTCTCCGCGGCTGGTTATTGCTGTGGAATATCCATGTCAGAGAGCAGCCTCTTTCAGCTCTTCCTTCTGTGTGAACGTGACGAATCAAATGTGCTTCCTGTGCTTGATGAACGTGACAAATCAAATGTGCTTCCTGTGCTTGATTATATTGCTGCGTGCTGCTGCCCTGGGCCTCCTTAGACGCTGCTTTAGTCTGCCTCATGACCAGAGATAAATTTCTCCCAGCACCATGCCAGCAATATGAAGCTTTCTAGTATAGAGGAGCTATGGGAGGATAGCAGCTTTGAAAGCAGCTTACTGTTAGTGAGGTTTCTGTCCATGACTGAAAGGAGAGTAGAGAAGAGAGTTTATTTTATTTGACTTAAGAGATCAAAAATCCTGCTCCTGCTATGCTACTATAGGATTGGGATGCTCTGTTATGTTAATGGAGGCAAGTTAACATCTTACAGCCCTGCCCTCGTTCTCCCAGATTTCCCTGTTTGACACTGTTCAAACAGTCTTATAGTACAGTTACTCTACAAATAACTATTTTGTCTTTGTAAAATGCTGTTCTTTAACAAAACCTCTGTTTTTTTTTTGAAATGCAGTGTCTATCAAAAGCAATATTTAAAATCCTGAAGAAATTGCCTCTGATCAGCCCCACCTGTTTTTCTGGAGTATGAACCAGTAGTTGCTTGCTTGTTTAATTGCAGCACAGAAGTCTAAAGGTATTGCCTGCCTAGTGGCAGATCAAATTATTTTGATAGTGGGAAGCCAGTAGGACAAAGCATACATCGCTCTCCCACAACTACAGTGAATCAAAAGGGGATTTTAAATCTTGGTGTGTAACTTTCTTTCCTATCAACAGATTCCAGCATCAGGACAACCGCCCTGAACTGCAATGCAAGCACATGAGTTGTTTAGACACCTACGAATGCCAGAACTTGGAGATGTCAGACAGTATGTGCGCACCCTTCCAACAAATACACTGATGGGCTTCGGTGCTTTTGCAGCTCTCACGACCTACTGGTATGCAACAAGACCAAAAGCACTAAAACCACCATGTGATTTAGCAATGCAGTCTGTGGAAGTAGAGGTAAGTGTCACTTGATGGATGCTGTCGTTCACTGAAGTTTGAAGCCTAAAGGCAGCATTGAGAGAGACTAACCACTGATTTACATAAGAGTATTTCTAAACTTGTAGTACAGAGGGAATAGATTGCAGGGCATGTTTTGGGTTTTTTTTCTGAAGTATGGCTTGAACTCAGTTTTTTGCTTTCTGAGTTTCAAAACCAGTTTGAGGGTTGAGGTCATAATGGTAGTTACTAGCATGGGAGAAAGAGATTTTGTGCTGAGAAAACTGAGCTTCTGATCTGACTGGTGGCAGGAAACTTGTGCATGTTGGAATTGGCACAGTGTAGTTCTCAATTCCTGCCTACATGTTTAGGTGATGACCTATTAAATGAGGTCTTGGGGTCAGAGTATGTATGCTGGTGTATACTGATTAGGCTAATGCTTTTCTTTTATAATATTTAGTTTATAATAGCTGACAGGTGAGACTTCATTGGGTTACAAGCATGAAGAAGGTACTAATTCTCCTCATATGATCTGTGGAAAGATATATTAGTCCTGCCAAGAGATCCCAGCCATAGAGTAAGCTGAAACTAAAGCAACCACTTGCTAAACTTTGGATATGCTAGCTTAGCTTTTGTCTTATGCTTTTTAGAGGCAGACAGAGTTGCTGTTAGGTGCTGGTATTTTAATAGTGAAGTCAAATATGAAAACAGCCTGACCAGGAGGAACTGTTGCTTAGAAGCAAATATAGACAACTGATTTCATGGCTGGGGTTTCCTGAGCAGCAGTTGTGTCAGTTCTCCTGTTCACTGCAGAGTCAAGATTTTACCACTTATTTCATTCTTTCAAGAGTATCTCTTTCTTCAGGGTAGACAAGGTGTTTCCTTCTCTTGAAGGAAGGAGATGGCTTTGAAAGGTTGTGATCTTCAAGGGAGATATTTACAAAATGTAGAACTGTAAGGCTGACAATTTCTTGCATTATGCTTGATAGTCAGAAACTACCACTATAGATTTTTTTATATATACTTGCAACTGAAGTCTCCCTTTACAGCATATTCCTATGTGTGGATAGACTGCATCTAGTTGTCCTGTATCAAATGCAATTAATGTGACTACTTCTTGTGCTTAAGAGTAGATGTGACTACAAACTAATGTAAACAAATGTGGCAGAGCAATTTGAAATTTACAGTAGGTGAACTTTCATGAACTTTATGAAGGTGCCTCAAATCGGGCACTTTCTTTGCGATGTTTCATGACAATGAGATTGAAGAATGAAGCATTAGTTGGCCTCTCCATTCAGAAGTTTAGTTAGTACCATTTATTTCCTAATCTTCTTCCCAGTATGTCATACAGTAAACTTATTGATACTGTCATGTTACTATAGCAAGTAATGGTCTATTAGAAGTACACAAAGGGGGAACAAAAATATCCTCTGGCAATGTGATAATTGCCAGAAACACCTCTTTTCAAGGCACATGTGTAGAGTAAGGATCCAGAGGTTAGATCTTGCTTCTCCTGGTGAGCTTTTCCAATCCTGACAGCAGCCACTTGGTGGAATAGTGTTGTAGAGCAGCATATCTTGGTGGCTGGAATAAACTAGCAGTGAAAGCTTTCCAGCTGTGGAGGGCCTCACAAGTCAGTGTCAACTTCAGGAGATTTGGGGAGCTTTGCATTGGGAGGTGGTAAAACAGTGGCTCTTAACTGGCGATAAAATCAGTGACAAATGCTTACTTGCTTGAGACTTGACAGCAGTCTCAGTTCACTGCCTTTACCTCTTCAAGCTAAATAGCTCGTCACTGCTGGATTCTGTGATTGAAATCATTATTTGGTAGTATGAGACTCACTGAACTACTTATAGTATCATTGATCCATATTGTACTAATTAACATCAGCACTCTGGTTAGAGCAAGATGGGTATAACAACATTATTTTTCATAGTGTTTTCTGAAAATACGTATTAGCAGGAAGACTGAACACTAGTAAAACTAAAATGAAAAACAGCTGAGTGTGTTAGCATGTCTCAATGATAAAAGAGCTCAGACTTTGAGAACATGTTGAAATGAGCAGGATCTATCCAGTTTTGTTTATTGACAATTCAGATACAGCCCTTAATGTTGTAAACTGTACCAAACTGTAATCAAATCAGAATGTAAGTTTTGAAGCAAGTTTCAAGTGTCTGTTAGAATTTGTACTTTTATAACAGTAACAAGAGTGTAATACAGTGCTTGGGAATCAGTTTCTCACTACATTTCGCTTAGAATTTCACTTCACTTACTCCATTCTCTTTATACATGTGTTAAGATGGATTGTCATGTTAATCAGTACAATATTAAAAGGTTTAGGGAGTAAGCAATATGCTCCAAAAAAGACATGGCAGAAGGCAATTCCTCTTCTCTACTCTTTTGATATCTAATCTACCTGTTCATTAATGATAACAACATTGAACTGTAAATAAGCTTCTGCTTAATTCTTACTTGTGACTTATTTCCTTGGCCTCTAACAAAGTTAAATAAAGTCAGTGACTGGAGTAGGGTTTCTACATGTTCTGATAATAAATCTTTATAACCTTATATGGGAGGAAAAAGATCCTATTTACTGCTGTTCCAGGTTCTTTCCCATCTCTGGAAAGCTTTGATTTGGTAGGCCAGCACCCAGTGACCCGTTTTAACAATCACTGAGTGAGCATAAGGATTGCACACTTAGTTGAATATCGCTACAAAGAGTTACTGAAAGTATCAGCTCTTCTGGAGTAGATGCCACAATTAAAAGATGTGGAGTACAACCTTTAAAGTATGCATACTACAGTTACGTTTCACTGAAAGAAACCCTCTTGTATTCAAAGCTCCCAACCTGATCTCTCTTCAGGGGAACTTCTTGGAGGTATAGGTGAAAATCTTTGAGTCCACTTGAATCCCTTGTCTGTAGGAGGGGAGACAAGATTAACGAAGAGTAATTCTAAATAAAGTCTGACTAGTGTGAGACTGCATTGCTGAGGCTCGTGCTGTACTCAGTCATGCACTATATTGTTATGAATTTCAGTGTTACAGTAATGGTAGAAATAGGGCATTAGTCCTGTGTTTTCTAAAGCTTTTGTACCCTTAATGCCTGTAGTTGTAGGCACATCTGGATCTGTCTGCTTGTAGATTGCTCTTTCCATTGGTGACTGATAGCTGAACAACTTTGGCTATTGGTTTGAGTGCAGGTGTATAGCTGTCAAATAGATTAAATCTTGCTTTAAACCCCCAAATACTTCTATTTAGCTGAAGGTCTGCTAAAGTATGTAGAAGGATAGGATATAAATGAACACTAGGATGTCAGTATTTTTTTAGTAGTAAGAGTTTGGATTTGTGACTGGCTTTTTTTTCTTCCCTTAAGAAAAGACATTCAAATCTGGAGATGTATTTAACTCCTGGAAACTTTAAACCTGCTTACATTCTCCTCATACATTACCAGAACTCTAGCTTGCATTGTCTTTCAAGAATCACTTGATTAGACATGTGCTTGTCTCCCTATTAAGTGATCAGTTTTAGCTGTTGTGTGTTTACCTAGGGAATGGCATGCTTAAAATGATATGGCTGGCTTGAAAACTCTAGTTTATCCTTCTTGCTGGTCAGAATATGCGTGTTGGTGACCTAAGCACCACGTGCTAGTATATTTTTCCCTCTTGGGAAAATGGAAATTGGGCCTCTTGCCTCTGAGGCATGGTGGAGCCAACAGTGTGTTTTGACTTTACTGCTAATCCTAAGTAGCCTGTGTCAACAAGAAGCAAACCCAGAGCTTGAACAAAAGCAGCTATCTTGCTATGTGACCCAAATAGGCATTGCTAGAGTAATATATGCCTCTGTTGTAGAATAAAGCTGTTTCCTTCAGCTGCTGCTATTCTGAACCCATGCCAAGGTTTTACTTTGTGTCCAGCACTTGCTGTGTAATGGGTTGATTTCCTGCAACTCCCTGAGCTGCTGCAAGGACTGCTTTACATGAGTAACCAGAGGCTGTTCTCACATTAATCAGATTATATTGCCTGGCTCCTTAAGAACACTTTGGTAAAACTGACAACTCTTAGGAGTGCTTACCTTTGTACTAGACAGATCTGTTAGATCCCATTCAAGTAACTTGTGTGAAGTCAGCCAAACATTCCAGTCCTGAGATTCAGTGTTTGGTGGTTGTAATGACTGGTGATTTTTAGAAGAGTTTGCTGTGAACAGAACTTTCCCTGATACTGCACAAATATTAGGGATAAGGACCCTTTGGACAGGGTCTTAAAACAGTCATTCTTGCTACTCTCAAGGAAAATATAGACAGATAGAATAATATTGCCTAGTAGGTGAGTTCAAACTGGGAGCATAAGGTGAGGTCTAAATGATCTTCAGCATATCCAGGTGTATCTCACTGCATTTCTGAAGAACAACATTGGAATCCTGATGGTCTTAACACAAGGAGTTCAGTGGTTTTTGAGCAAAACTGCTTACTCTAGAGCTGTTGAAAATTCAGTTGATTTCACTTTGCTCTGGAGGAAAAAGCATAAAGTAAGCAGAAACATAAGTTGGTTATGTTTCCCTTTACTGAAAACTCCTGAGAACTGATGGGGTCTTTCCAATAGTAGTTTGTTAGAGTTTGGTTTTTTCAGGAGGACAGTGCAGTCAGTCTTGTATCTAAGCAGTGTACTGTCTGTCTGATAAGTCTCATCCTCAAATTTGGTTAGTGCCTCAGGCCCTGCTAAAACTGCTTTTGTGGTGCTGAGTAATAGGGTGTGTAAACAAAACAGTAGTAGCTTGCATGAGGAGAAAACAAATATTTCTTGACTGTTGCCAAGGAATGGTTTAGGATATTATATTCCTCCTGATGCAGGAATTGTAGCACGTCAGACATGGTACATGTCATACATTGTACTTGTTGACATTACCTATGACTGTGGTTACAAGCTACGCTGTGTCATCTTCCTCAGGTTAGCTCCAGAGGTGGTAAAACTGGGAAAATCTAGAAGCTGACCTTGGTTACCAAGATCTGTGAAACCAGTGCAATAAAGCAAGCAGCCTTGCTTTTCTTTCTAGGCAGAGACATGTACTAGTGATCTCTTAATTTCCTATAGAGTAGATACTGGTCTGAGTGCAAGTGTGCTCTTGAATTTCTAATGTTACACGTTTTTAGAGGTAAGCTAGTCATTAACTTGTTCTGGATCATGTTCAGTGTACGTTTCTACTTACTGTCAAAGGTGTGGCAAGAACTGCATTACACATAGTGTTTTTCTAAAACAAGTTAGACTTGTTTTAGTGTTAAAGTATCTTTTCTTTTCTGTTATGCCTTTAATGTGCTAGCTCCTTTCTGTGGACGTGGGCATTAGGACATCTTCTGCAGATAAACCTGTGTGTATCTAGCTTATACATGAACAGATGCTCTCTGGCCTTCCAGGGTACTTTGAGAACAGGAAAATAAACCAATGGCCAGGAAGAGCCTATGATCGTATATGAATAGGTTTTTGACGTTGTAGATGATGGCATAATTCAGGCACAGATTTAGTTAGCTCAGGTTTTCACTTTGAAAGAGCTAGGAGTTGAGCAAACACTGAGAGAGAGAGAGAATTGTATGCGGTGTTCACCCAAGACCCTCTGTTTAACCAGCTGGGCTCTTCCAGCTAAGAACATGCTTGTAGGTATCTGTCATCATAGCAGGACTAATAAATGCAGCCCAATAGTATTTGCATAACTGGAATTTCTGAAACTTGGTTGATATAAGTGAGATTATTTAATTGGTCACTTTAAAAAAGGCTATATTAAAACTATGACCTATTAAATTCTTGTATTGACTTCCAGTTGTAGTCTATGTAAGTGCTTACCTGCTGAAAAACGGTGATTTTAGTCCTCCAGATAGTATTGTCTTGACTGCCTCAAACTAGATCAAGAGGAAATCTCTTTTGTAAGATGGAACTTAAAAATTCAGTCCTTTAATCCAATTTAATCTGGTACAGAGTATTTTACTTATGAGAACGCTTGTTTAGGGTGTTGTTAACCACCCTTAAAATCATTTAGGCTTTGAAAACACAGTTTGAAGTGTGATTATGTTTTGTAATCTTAATTAGAAAAGTAGATTAGGATCTCAGCATTAGTATTGTTTCTGGAGAGCTCTGAGGCTGGACTGATTTAGAAAGCTTGATAAAATTAATTATGCTGTATACTGCAATAATAGAGTGAAATATTGCGTAAGAAAAAACCCTGTGTTTAGTACAGAATGTCAAAGGGCATTTTGACGTTCTCACTTCCTCAGCTACCTATGATAGCACAGAACAAGATTTTGCCTGACAGCTTTTTAGTAAAGCAGGGAGCAGTCTGACTCTTTGAACAATGTCCTGGGAAACGTTGATGGTGAAAAGAACTGAAGTTCTTTCAAGCAGAATTTGCCAAGGCTCATAACAAAACTTAATGGATGAGGTGTTTTTATTCCTTCAGGAAGTTCCTGTTCATTTATAACCAGCAAGTATGTCTAACCTTGCTAATTGGTTTTCTTAGGGTGGTGAGCATGCTCGAAGGTCCTCTCTTCTTAACAGCGATGAATTGTTGATTTACTACTACGATGATGTGAGAACAGCTTACGATATCTTCCAAAGGGGTGTGCAAGTATCAAGTAAGTCTAAAATGAAAGATAATTTTTTCAACAATATGTCAAGAACTAAGGTCTGGGCTCTTTTGAAATGCTCTTGTGGATAGGGAGTGTCTACCTAGCAATACCTACCTCTTGTGAAGCAGAGTTGTGTGAATGAATTCAGTGCTGTGTTCCCTAGCCGAAACCAACCTTGTTGCCTCTGTCCTTCTCCAGCTTCCCTCCCTGCCCCGCCTCTGAAAAAAAGGTTTCTCTTCTGAAGGTGTCTGCAAAGAATCTAGAGGGTTAACACCAAGAGTACAGTTAGTGTGGTGTCAGGACAGAGGAGTCGGGTTAAATTTTGAATAACACTTTTTTTTTTTAGATAATGGTCCATGTCTAGGTGTTAGAAAACCAAACCAGCCGTATGAGTGGATCTCCTATAAAGAGGTAAGTAGTGTCTCTAACTTGGTGCTAGACCTGCTTTGATACAACATCCAGTAATGTGATATAACAAATCCAAATTATTTGTAGATGTTTTAAAGTAGTAGCAGAATATTGCAGAAATGTTCTAATTTCTATTAGAGTATCTTAAAGGAACAGCCTTAAATACGTGCGAGGGGAAGAAAAGAAGATTATCTCCTGCGCTTACTTGGTTTATTAACAGTTTTATTTCAGATTTTTTTTGGCAGCTTTTAGCATCTCATTGCTGAATTGTTTGAACTTGGACACGGCCTCTGAAGGGCTGCAGCTTTGAAGTAGCATTCAGAGACTCAGACTGCTACTACTTTAGATGCTTGCTTCCAAGAGGCTCACTTTACACTAGGAAAACTCCTATCTACAGATGTTATTTGTGCTTCTTGACAACTTGTCTCCGTAGTACCAAATGATGGTTGTACAGGGCATTAACAGACATGCTTCTAACTAGTAGTGTGCTCCTTCATGATTGCTAAAAATATCTTTATGCAAATATCTCTGTTAACAGCTGTGAACTTTTAGGTCATTCGTGATTTAATCAGTTATTGTCTCCAAATTTGCATAAACCTTGCCTATTGCGTACTGCTAAGGTCATTAGACACCTTTTGTATGTTGCAGACCTCACTTTTTCCAAGGTGATTTTGCTGGGCACTTGTTAGGTGTGACCTGCCTCTAATAAAGCTTTGCTGTTGGAGTCATGTGACTACCATGGATTCAGGTCATGTGCTATATGGAAAGAATTTACAAATTGCCTTCCTAAGCTTCACTTATAGAACTAGCTGGGTTTTGCCTCCTTATTCTCCCACTTATTGAAGGGAGAAATTCTATTCCCATAGGCACCAAATGAAGCAGAAGGATGGCATATGTAGTGCATACGTAGTGCAGAAATATAATGCTGAATCGTTCCAGGGTCACATCTGGAGTTTAGTATGGATACAACAAAACAGCCTTTTCTGTGTATGAGCTTAACATTTAAACTTACACTTAACACTTTCAAGTCCAGCTGGATTAAGTGTCTCTTCTGCTGCATATTGAGTGCAAGTGTAGTGTCTACAATCAGTGCAGTGTAATAGCACTGCAACGTTTAGGTTATCAAAGTCACACAGGACATCCAAAATAGCATGGAAAACTTCTGTCTACTTTATACCAGTTATTGACCTTATTTTTGTAAGACTAAGGTAAAATAATGAGGAGTGTGTACTGATGAGCTTGCTCTCAATTTTTTTTGTCTTTCCCTCCCACCCCCCCCATCCAGGTTTCGGACAGAGCCGAGTGTGTGGGCTCTGCGTTACTCCACCGAGGCTTCAAACCGTCTCAAGTTCAATATATAGGAATCTTTTCACAAAACAGACCTGAGGTAATTTAATTGACAGTGTGTGTATTGGTGGTCTAGCTGTTATTGAAGTGTTCTGCTCCCACATCTGTTGCTTTTTGGCAGTTTACTGAGCTTCCCTACTAAGAGTCCATTTGATGTTGGGAAAAGGCTAAAGGCTGACATTGTAGACCCACAAGCCATAGACATGACATTATTGGCTAAGAACCGAAAGTGATAACTGGCAAAACTGTTAGTGTCTTGTATTGGTTTTTTGCTCCCAGAGCTGAATGCAGAAGGCTGCAGAGCAGGAAGAGAGTCAGGGGATCCAGAAGAACTAATTCTCTTCTCTATAAACTGGAAAGAGGAGGCCTGTTTAATGGGAAGCTAATGTGGTACTTAATAAGTGTAATCACCATTTGTTTCCTCTTAAAGTGACACTGGAGTACAAGGTAATTGAAAGGGGTTGGAAGTCAAAGAGGTGTTTAAACCCTTCAAAACCCAAAGAAACACTCAGTGATTAAATATTTGGACAAATAGAAAATGGGTAAAAGGTGATAGTTCTATTTCTGCCAGAGGCCCTGGGCATGAAGATTCTGGGAGGGAGAACTGCTGCTGAAGGCCAAAATTGAAAATTAATTGCAGTTTAATGAACAGGCAGAAAGACTAAAGAAAGTGACATAAAGATCACCTGAGAAAGCAAAATGATGTTACAAACCTGAAACAATATTTAGATTGATTAGCTAGTATCTATCCATTTTAACCCAGAAGTGGTTCTAGATTGCTGTTTCTAAAAATACTGTGAAATATTCAGTAAATATTTATTCTCTAGACTTGCTTACTAAACGTATTTAATAGGACAGAATTTCTTTAACCTATGTTTATGTGCTTAGTAGCTTGAGCTGTACTTGCTCCATTAAGCTCGTTCAATACAAACCTGTATTAAGACAGTAAACTGGTTTTTAAGTTTTGTCAAAAATGTGCTGTCCCTCTTGATTAAGCACTCCCAGCTAGATGCCATTATCTAGAGCCATCTACGGTGTTGACGGGTAGAAATTGTATCAGTGTTTTGGTTGTGCTGGACAATGTCTTGCTGTTGGGTCTCCTGATTCCAGTTTGTCACTGAGCCTTCCCTGCTGTCATTAAAATGCAAGCTGTGTGACAAGTGACCTTGACCCCCCTCCTCCTCTCCCAACCTACACCACAAAAATAACCCTAACTCTAGCCTTGTCCAGATGAAGAAAAACTCTTTTCCAGACTCTTTAATCTATGGTAGTTTGCTGCTTGGATTTTCCTGCTGGAATTCTGGTTCTAACAGCTACAGTTTTATTTCTGTAATAAGGCTGGGATGTCTCCAGCTAGGAAGCTGTTAAATGACATTGTGTTACAGACTCTTCAGTTCAGTCTCCTGTGCTTATAACATTATGAACTGGAAGTAGAAAAGGGAGCCAGATGTTAGTGTTGTGCCAGTTTGAACTGTTTCTCTGTAGACCTTTGGGTGCAAAGTCTGAGTGCTGGGTCAGTGGACTCTCTGAAGGAGAGCATGGTAGTGTGGATCACAGACAAAATGGGCTTAACTTGCATTGCTCCAGCAGGCTTTGAGTTGGGTCAGGAATGAGCTGGAAAGACTTGTTTAAACCAGCAATTTTAAATCTGGGATTTTCCCTGCTGAAAACTACTGGATGGGTGTTGTGACATCCCCAACATAATCACTAATCCAGACAGAAGATTATGTGAAGTTTTTTGGTGTGTGAAATGATTCACATCTGTCAGTTCATGGAACAACTGCTGGGGAAATCCCCTAATGGGTAAAATCCTAGCATGTTACTTAAGTATTCACTGAACAAACAAAATTGGATTTATAAATAAGTGTATTACTTTCTCTTTGAGTTACTGGGAAGAAGATGATCTCCTCTGCAAGTAAGGAAGTTGTGTTTTGGATTCAGAACACAGGACAGTGAAATACAGTGTCCCTTTATAGAAGATCAGAACAACGTCAGAAAACAAACTGAATACAGACAATAGTCTGAAAGTTTCAGTACTACTTGCTTGGGCTTTGAGGAAGAACTCAAATGTTGAGGTTTCATATTTGTATTTAAATACTCTTAACTTAGAAGCTAAAATGAAAGGAAAATGTCTCGATAGTCCAGAAAATAAAGATGCTGGTTGTTGTATTGAGGATGATAGTGCACAACAGTTGTTGGAGGCTGCAAGAGGAAACTTTTATCACAGTGTGCAGCTTCTGAAGTCTGCTGTAGTAGACCCCCACCATATTAAAATAACTACTAAACTTCAGGCTGCTGGACAGCAGTACAGCTGCCCCCTTGTTACATGTACAGGTGGATGCTATCTAGGAAGAAATACTCTGTGGACCCATTCATGGCTGGTATAGGTGTGCCTGCTTAGACTTATCGGTATGTCTAATGTCTGTGTGAAAGTCTAGTTACCTGTTTTCTGGCCTTGTACTAGTTTTATAAAAAGTCTTTTTGGGCAAGAGGTATACAACTTAATTATTGTGTAAATGTTTTCAGAAAAATTCCCTGCATTTAAGGCTGTCAGAATTGGTAGAGAACTTTAGGAAACTTGCCCTTAAACAGTTTGTAAAACTGAAATTTAGCAATTTTGTTAAGATAGCCTATATATTAGGTATTACATGGAATAACCAGCTGAATGATATTTAAACTTGTCATCATACGGGGTGAGGTAACTGGCTAGCGTCCTGCAAAAACACTGGAAAGTGTGACAAAGTTTGGGGGTGGGGAAGGGAAACAAACACCCTTGTTAATGCAATCCTTGTTGAATTGTAAGTTCTGGTACATTTGAAAGATGCATGTTGTTTTGTTCCTGTAACTGGAACAGACTAAAGGTACTGTGTCTCAGAACTGTCACTTTTCTTTGGGGGGGCAAAACTGTAATATTCCAGTTTCACTGGCCTCTGCATGTGTCTGGAGGCTCCTATTTCAGGAGTCGCATGCTACTCTGTATTTTGCTGTAGCAAAGTTGTTTACAAACTATACCCAATAGCTATTACCTGGAAAAAGAATTGCATGACTGTCTTACCTTGATGATACTTCAGATGAAATCAGGCTTGCTGTAAAGTATTGTCAGCTTGCATCACATGCAATAGGTCTGCAGTATCCATTATGTTTGAGTACTGCACTTGTTAGCAGGCAAATCCTTCTTATTGCAGCTTGCAGGGATGTGATTGTATTATTTATAGAAGTCTTCAGATTAGATTTGTTTAAAGAAGGTTAGTCTTGAGAAATGCTGAGAAACTTTCTGGGGCTGGCTTTCCAAAGGTATCCTGTTTAACTGCACATGTTGCATGTCTGGCCATCAAATGAGATGCAGATAATGTAGAGGTAAGAACACTGTATATAAATTTAACATGTCAAGATATGAGCAAGTCCTTCACTGACTCATATACCATGGTAATATAGAATATTGATGGCTTTGGCTACCTCGGTAACCTAAAACAGAAAAAATACTGTACTCTTACTCAAAGGCTCTTTCTGTTAATAGGTAAACTAAGGAGACAGTTAACATTAATTGTTCTTCAAAAGCACTTAAAATTACTCTTGTATTTTATTGGATTGGATTCTTTCCCATAACTCCTTATTGTTTATTTTTTCTTTCCTCCTTCCACAGATAAAAATTTAGTAGGTTTTCAAAGTAAACAAATGACACAAACTGCCACTTATTTTTTAGAAAGACTTGTCCAAATGAGATCAGCTCTATTAGTCTCATATTTGGATTCTAACAAGGAAGCTTTCTTGGAGGTCTAAGATAAGTGAACACATAGTGACTTGCATCTCTTCTCTTTGTGCAGTGGGTTATCATTGAACAGGGATGCTACACATTCTCCATGGTGGTGGTGCCACTCTATGATACACTGGGAACTGAAGCAATTACCTACATTGTGAACAAAGGTAGGACACTTTCAGCAACTGAACGTATGATGGCAGAGCTGACTGAGGGCAGAACTGTAGCCTTCTTCAGAAGAGTCTTCCATTACCGTGTTCTGGAGTATGTATGGATCTAGTCTGAACTCAACTTGTCATATCAATAATGTCATTCTCTTTCATCAGCTGACTTGTCATTGGTTTTCTGTGACAAACCTGACAAGGCCAAACTTCTGCTAACCAGTGTGGAAAAGGGGGAAACTCCAGAACTCAACACCATTGTTATTATGGAGTCTTTTGGCATGGATCTTGTGGAACGTGGCAAAAAATGTGGGGTGGAAGTCTTCAGCATGAGAGAAATAGAGGTAAGTGTACTTAACCTACTTTACTGCTTAACCTGCTTTAATGCTGCCTCCACCATTTACTTGTGGAGGAAGAAGACAGTGTCTGTTGAACAGATTTTTACGACTCTGAATAAAATGTGGTGGATTCCTTTCAAAATACTTAACTATCTCTTGGATTGAAGTTTACACAAAAAATAATATTAAAAAAAGAAGGAAAACAACTTGCTAATAGTATTTCACAATGCTTAAACCGTAAAAGTGTATATGCCAAGTTGACAGAGTGAAACTGTGTTAACATAGTCCAGACTGAACATCAGATCTGAGTGTTAAGGCTTGCCCATGTGAAGCAGTAACATGATAATTATATACGGTGACTAATACTTCAGAAATACTTCTTTCAAAAAGAGCCTGTGTAGGTTTTAGTGTTGTGAAAAATGGCATCTTCCCCTGTACACTGAATCTACAAACTGTTTTCTGGGGGAGGAGGAAAATGGCAGTAAGCTGTTCCAGGGTAAGCTTATGGTAATGTAGGGGAATAAGACTTCCAGGTTTCGGAAACAGAAACCATTTTGCTTAGCTACCTAATGTTCAAGTCTTGGTTTTGCTTGTAGTTATTTTGTCTGCATAGATCTCTTATGCAAGTTTATTTCATAACTTCACTCGTTATTAGGAGAACTCTGTTCCAGGATCAAATTGCATAAAGTACATCTGTATTGTGAGATTATGAAACTGGGTTTAGCCTGGTTCCAGCTGGAGTTCTAGTGAAGGCTTGGCTCACTAGGACTTGAGTATCTCCAAATAAGTGTGCTTGTCTTGTGCAGGTGTCAGTAACTGGTGTGAAATAGTTCACTTCGCTGAACTTGTTTTCACAGCAGTCTTAACTATTACGTTAACAGGGCCACCTTCTGGTAAAGATAGAAAAATGCCAGCATGTCTTTTTTAAAAGATGATTAACTGTGTGGTAGCTAACTAGTCTCAGCAAGACTGCCAGATTGAAATGGAGCTTAAAAACATTATGCAAAGTAAGTGACTTAAATAGCTCACTGGCAAAAGGGTTGGGTTAAACTTGGAAAAATATTGGCCTAACTGCAAGGTGGTACGCTAAAATCAGCCTCTTTCCTTGAGTTGAACGCCAGGTTTTGGCAGAGGAAGATGCTTTCCATGGGATCTTCTCGCTACAGAAAAACAAAACTAAGGGCTGAATGTTATCTTTAAGTTAGAAGTTTAGATGCTTAAGTAGTGACTTCCAGTAGTACTTTGTAGCTCTTATTTAACAATAACACTTGGTCTTTGGATTAAAGCAGTAGTTGGTGCTCCAAGAGCCTCTTCTCTAAATCTCAGAAGTCAGGCAAACTTAAATATTTCTAATAGTGTTACAGTGAGCAGAAGTAAGTTTTGTCCCCTCTTTTTTTAAGGGGTAGAGGCTTTTAGTGTCTCCTGAAAGGCAACTATGAACTGTTTAGGAGCTTAGGTTAGAATAAAATGACTATTTCTAGCTTGTTTTCTAGATTTTTTCAGCTTGAGTTTATTGCTCAGCTGTGCATTATAGGTTATATGACCAGTTCCTCTGTATCTCCCCGATGCCATAAGCTTTGTTTCTAATGCCTAATACCTATATGTGTGCTGTGGTTGCTTAGAGCTGAGTGAGTAGCTGTGATTAAATGGCTCTTCATTAGAAACAGATGTTGGAGATCTGTTCCAGGAGATCAAAAGTGTGTGGAGATCTTAGCTGTATATTCAGTAAATACCAGATCTGACTCAAAACAGG